TATTATGTAACAAGTGTTATAAACGTCCTTTTAGTAACGAGTAGTTTAAGCACGAGCGGAGCAGAGCGGAGCGACTGTTTAATAAACGAGTGTCTAGAAGAGTTTATAAACGCGTAACATACTATGATTTTTCTACGAACTCCGAAAATTACTCGAAGATACCTGCAATTTCTGCTAACCTAAAAAATAATTCGAAAGGAATGGGAATTGAGAACATAATACATGCAACTGCATGCAACCAGCGAGACAGGTATAAGTGATATTGGTTGTAGATGTGTCTAGTCCATTGCCCACTAACCTTTGTTTCACGTTTATTGTCATGCTTATTATTATTATTATTATTTTTATTTTTTTTTTCGCAATTGCATACCTCGTTAGTCCCAGCACTGGGACCAAACGCCCCGCCCCATAAGTCGAAACTTGTGCGGGGTTAGGTGTACATACAAACACAAACATCCATGGCCTAACTAGGATGCGAACCTAGGTCTCGGTGGGAGTCCCCATACGAACTCAGCGCCTTAACGCTCTCGACCACCGAGCCGAGTCATTGTTATTAACTTTGATTCTTCATTTTTTCGAGGATTTTTATGATAAATATTACTTTTTCTACTCCCATAACTAAAATGGCATTTAGCGTACGGATACGTACCACGCTAAATGGTCGATCAATCACGGATTGGAGATCTGTGATTTATTCAAAATATTAAACACGTTACCATGGTAACACGATTTCTTAAACACATTACCATGTCAACACAGGTTATCAAACACAGCTTCAGTATAATTTGAGACATGTCCGGCCTATCAATGGGCGTGTACACCTTAGTAAAACTTTCAACTCAAACCATGTTTATAATGATCCTTCTATACATAAATAATGATTGACGACATGATTCGATCAAAAAATCAACTGGAATGTTTTATTTTTGGACATAAATAATAGAACCTTCTGAAAACGGACCGTCTTATGACGGAGAAACCCCATCTAGCCATTGTTAAAAGAAAATACCAAACGCCCGACGGAGACAACTGATATCTTGATTCTTTCAACTGTGATCTCGCGCTAATTCACTTTGTCAGAAATTATGTATCATTCATCTCTGCCTGGAACAGTCTTGTTTCAGTATCAGGGTTTTGACGTCACAGCATCGCCTCGTTTTCAGAGGTCCGAAAAATCGGGGATTTCAATAATTTTTTATAAAACTTAGGGAGCTCACAGCAAGAAACGGTTTGCGGTGGTGAGCTAGTTTGGGTGAGTTCTATCGAATTATGAAATAATTTTTTTTTGTGATATAAGCCCATTGTAGGAACTGCCAACTGTCATTTCCGAATTTTGTATCAGAATTATTCAAATAATTTTCGTTTACTGTATCAGAATTCTTCATCAAAAATATATGCGAAATGTAGACAAAAGTGAAACCGAAGATAATGTTTCGGTACTTGCATATCTCCAAGAAGTGTAAAAATGAAGCATCCATCTTTGAGAACTATTTATTTATTATGCGCTAAGCATGACAATAAACGTGAAACAAAGGTTAGTAAGCAATGGACTGGACACATCTACAACAAATATCACTTATACGTGTCTCGCTGGTCGCATATGGAGTTACATGCATTATGTTCTCAATTCCCATTCCTTTTGAATTATTTTGTAGGTTAGCAGGAATAGCAGGTATTTTAATGTAATTTTCGGAGTTCGTAGAAAAAGCATAGTATGTAACGCGTTTATAAACTCTTCTCTAGACACTCGTTTATCAAACACTCGCTCCGCTCTGCTCCGCTCTGCTCTGCTCGTGCTTAAAATACTCGTTACTAAAAGGACGTTTATAACACTTGTTACATAATATACTATTAATTTCTATATTTTTTGAGATAGACATGTTCTCTCCTAGTCTTATGTAATTTGCCTCAAATAGGCCAGTAGACTAATTTCTTTTTATTTCTTAAATAGAATCATCACTCAAATACCTTTCGATTTCATATTACTTTGGAAGTTTTCGTTCGATTTCAAGGTGACAAGATCATCAATAATGCCACGGTAATTTTCAAACGGCTAGAAATTTACCGCGAGTAAAAACTGACGTCACGATTCAGTAGGTAGGGGCAGACCATAGCACAGTTGCCATATGTTGAAATACGATTGGGAACTTCAGAAATATTATTTATTCAAATATACATGAATTCTCAATTACCTATTGGTAATATTCCTAATTAGCATTAATATATCGATTGTCTCAATATGTCCCCTCAAGTGTTGTGGCTTATTGGTTATAAAACATTTGTGTAAATAATAATCATATTGATTCACACTGAAGGACATTTGAACCGGTAACCGCTCGGGTGAACGTGACTACAACGGCGTACGAATTGTGGGCGTGGTCTTGTCAGTTCTCAGCATCCAGCACAATGTTGCCAAGTCTCTAACATTTACATGATATTTTGTTATGGAGTATGAGAAAAATTTGAACATGCTGGTTGCTTGGAAAAGTCAAAAATTAACTATAATATATAATTTATACTAGTTCCTCCTATGATGTTTTATTCAACGACAGGACTCTAACAACTTTTTGTTATCAAGATCATAATTGGTGACTTGGCAACCTTGCTTCATGAGTGGGAAAGAAAGATTATCTGACCAATAACGAAACAGCATAAAAACTTGCGTCATCATTTATTTGACGTAGACTCATTATTTACATAAAAAAAGCGTGAGAAGTGTTGCAAAAATTAATTTAGTTTCCTTACGATACAGTGGAGTAATTGAATGCCAATAATTGATTATTAGTCCACTCGCCCATTGTCACTGCGCTAAAAATGTCACTGATATAAAACTGTTGGCCCGCGACACAGGGTTTATCGATGTTCTAAGTCGGTATGCCATTCAAGGGACCCACTCACTCAGTCCGAGTTAACAATAAGAAGTGCCTCGGAGAGTCGCAACCCAGTCCTTGCCCCGGCCCTGACCTCACCTTTCGGTTGGAAACAATTTCAAAATTTTTTTTAAGAAGAAGCTCGGCAATGAAGTGCAATGATCTTATCTCACGAGAATTGGGGCGCTTGCCGGTTTGCATACGCCTAGGTCACTCCCCAAGGGCGACATACGAACCTAAAGTGGGAATTTTTCAGTGTTATAGTCGATGATCGAAGAATGTATGCCCTTTGGCGAAACAATGAATTCGGATCCATTAATCAGTTTCCCGACATTTGCATACGATTCCGGAGAGGGGAGCTCGACTTATTCGAACATCATTTGACTGGATATTCTTCAAATAATCGATAATCGAATAAATGTTCAAATTTTGACCATGGTTAGTGGACCACACACTATAGATGAGATGATGGTTTGCATACAATTTGCACATTCCGTACAGGGTGTTTCACCATAAATATCTCCCATTGTAACTTAGTTGTTTCTGAACCGATTTGAAAATTTCAAAAACCAATTAAAATGATTTTCCTAAGAGATTTTTCATTGTTATCATAAAATTCACAGGCCGTTCATAACAAATGAACTATTGGGTAGTTGACTAGTTGTTGATTTCTTTTTACTGGAACACTATATTTTATCTCACTATCGAGTTGAGATTATTATATGACGAATACAGCTCTACAGCATCTAGCGATATCATTTACACGCATCAGCACTCTTATTATAGCGATCATGCGCCAAATTGTCAAATTGTGCCAGAAAAATGAATCCCGTGTTTGAAGTATTTCCTTTTTTTTTTTGTTGAAACAATTTTCATATCTGAACAATGATTTGCTGCGTCAGCCGGGTAGAGTGTAGCACGTAATGATTTAGTAGGCATTCAATAATGTTTTTCCCTTTTGTCGGAGATCCGATATTTAAATATCTCAAAAACCATTTACTTTTGTATAATGTATATTACAGATTTATTCACTTCTTACTGCCTCCCCTACCAGTGGTATGAATCGGATTACCAGTAACCCTGTATATAAGTGCAGCGTGTGAATCTTATCGCTAAACTCAACTATACTGGGTTTGATGAGGTTATGTCATTGTCAGTTACATGAAAAATAATGAAGGGGGCTGAGCCCTTGATACTTTTTTTGGGTATGATTTCCATCGGTACCTTGCCTGCTGGAAGAGCTCCATTCCAGGAGAGGTTGGTGATATCATAATCTCGTAATCTCTGAGACTTCAACTGAGAAAGTATCAAGTATATATTTCGATCATGCCAAGATTCTTCAATAATTAAATAATATTCCCACTAACAGGTACTGATGACAACTCTGGAGAATCATCTTCAGACAGCGAGAGCGAAGATGACTCTGAAGATAATGATAGAGAGGGCGACGTATAATTTTTCCTTTGAAATATAATGTTGTTCTCATTTAATATAATCTCATTTCCAAATAATTTTGTTTTATGTGAAAAACAAAAATGTAGATTAATGTTCAGGATACAGACCCCATACTATACCCAAAACATTCAACAAACTAAATGTACATACATTCTTTATATATTTTTCAGACGCCAGTATTATGATAAGCAGTCCCATAAGCTCCAGGAAGAATTTCAATTCGATTCATTGTGAGTTTCGATCATGAGCAATAATCCACCCCTCTTCTCCCTGTACGATCCCTCTTGATCATCCTGCGAGTATCTTGTCAATTTTTTTTATCATCTTTTCAAAGCCCTGTTTTTCAGATTAAAATCAAACCAGCAAGCGCCCCAATTGTCGTGAGATAAGATCATTGCACTTCATTGCCGAGCTTCTTCTTAAACAAAATTTTGAACTTTTTTCCAACCGAAAGGTGAGGTCAGGGCCGGGGCAAGGACTGGGTTGCGACTCTTCGAGGCACTCCTTCCTGTTAACTTGTACTGAGTGAGTGGGTCCCTTAAATGACATACCGACTTAGAACATCGATAAAACCTGTGTCGCGGGCCAACAGTCTATATAGGAACCAAAAGGAGAAATTGAACCGATAGATAGTATTTCAAAGTAACTAGTAAAAATTTCAACAAACAAACTTACCGATTCCTTCACATCTTGCTCATCTGATAATAGTTTTGGTTCATCCTTCTGTTCTTCTCCAATTCCACTGGAACAAATAAGGGTAAATATTCAGAATATAGTCATATCAAAACATAACAACGGACTGCAACCTTACTTTCAACAGGAAGTATGCATTTTATTAGATAAATATAAACAAACGAGGATATTCAAAATATTATCCAACTGTTTCAAACAATCATTGAACAGAAACTTCTGAGAAATGATTATTTATGTTTCTTGTTATTGTGTGGAATTTATATTTGTCTCAAATATTTCAAATATTTATTTTTGCCATCTTTATGAAAACATCTGCACACAATGAACACTATACCATCTTTATTTCTAACTAGTTGGAATCTGATATCTATAAATCACCTGTTTACTGCACAAAATGTCAGGTTAGGTTGGGTATTTTAGGCAAATAAATACAGGGTGTCCAGAGAGGTCATTTCGTAAATGATAGTGCTGATGGAGGGTTCCAATATAATGTTACTAATCCATATAAAAAAATGCTCGTTTCCGCACGTAAACGGCTGTTTTATACAGCTTCCGCTGTTTGATTTCATCATATTTAATCTACAAAAATGGTATACTTTTTTTAATCGATATCTTGTATCGTTCTAAAGAAAATTGCATTTTAAAACATACATTTCAACCGTTTCAGAGGTAATAGAAGCTCCATTTACCTATTTAATGACATGAGTGAATACAAAAACATTATCAAAAATTGTTTTCAATATGTGCATCTGAACTTCAACGCATTTTATTAAGTTGTCTAAACATCTGTGTTGTACTCGACATAACATGTGATGATCATTTATTACGATGTGAGCAGATGTAAGAATTCGATTCAAAAGCTCATCACTAATATTTACAGGTGTTTTATAGACTAAACATTCAAGATAGCCTCAAAGTAATAAATCAAGTAGATTAAGATCAGGCGACTGAGGTGGCCATGGAAAAGGACCATGGGGAAATGTGATGTTCAAATGATCTCTTACAACTTTGTGTTCTAACAACGAATCTGGATGATGTTCTTGCAGAAAAGTTGAATATTTATTTACATTTGAAGTTTCATCAATGATATAAGATCCATAATTTTCAGCATTTGCCAATTAGTCCTATCCATACATTGATGAGTTGAGTTTTTTCACCTTTGAAACGGTTGGGATGTATGTTTTTAAATGCAATTTTCTCTAGATTGGTGCAAGACATCGATTGATATGATACATACCATTTTTGTAAAAAAAAATGAACGGATCAAATGGTGGAAGCAAAATGTCAAATTTGTCACCTCTGTCAAAAATTCTTTCATAAACGGAAAAATTTCGTCAGGAGAGGAGCATTAGTATGAGTTCATTTACCTGCCCCAAAATCATTGAAACCATGGCCATTTGCAAGTTATAAGTGAAATTAATTTTTTTTAGTTTAACTTTCGAGGCCAATCACTTCGTAACGGAGCGCGATAGACATATTTTTCATATGAAGTACTAACATCATTTTGGCTCACCCTATCAGTTCTATCATTTACGACATGACCTTTCCGGACACCCTGTATAAACATATTCTGATTTTTGGAACATCATCGTGAGCCCTATAGCTAAAAACTAACCAATAATACTGCAACACTGCAGAATCGCAAGGTATCAGAGAGAGTGGCCAGCATAGCCTTGTGGTTGAAGCGTCAGTATTCTATCCACGTACGATCGCCGGTAGGTGGGTTCGATGATGGATAAGAATAATTTTAGAACAATTTTTTGGATAGCTACAGTTCGTGACTTATAATATGCTCCACCTTCATATCTTGCTTTTTGAAATACGGATGTTGATTCCAAAACGCTTCAGATTCGATTTCCTTCAACTTCAACTTATAGTATAGATTGTACATTAAGTGTGAGTCCTGATTCAACGGTTGAAAGAGGTTTGGACGAATTTCATCCCTCACTTAATAACTGCGTATAGACACGTGGCGTTTCATTTTATTGCTTCGCCAATATCATAGCTTTTGTCATCTATAACAGCTCAAACATAATCGCGGCCTAACGCGGATTTGGTGTCTTCTAATTAACGAGAAATTAGATCTCGCCACTTCAGGACAATTAGAATGATTGAAATCTGTCAAATTGCCCTTTCCGATACAGTATAATCTTTGAAGAGGAAAAATGTGCCAGCCCTAATTTTCATTTCGATCCCCATAATTTTTTTAATGGTCCTTTAGTCAATGGTATATCTTGATCCATGCTAAGCTTTCAATTATTCTCAATAATTTTAATATCACGCTGTATAATTTCTTTGATTCGATATCAACTAATTTCTATTTTACGCGATAATTAGCCGATCACTTAGTGATTGAAGAATAAAGGTTCCAATCTCAATTTATTATTCGAATGAATTTTTCAACCAATATGCAAGTACGACCTGTAAATATAAAGTTTTCGATTTCTGAATAAAATGTTGTCATGTGGCGTTATATTTAGGAGACACGTTGAATTCATGAAATTCGCATTAAATGGAACGGATCAGATTTGACGTTTAACAAGACACCTGTTCAATAAATTTGTTCGAAACAGGTGGATTCTACAGAGATTTTGTATAAAAATAAAATTTGATCTGTCATGACTATACGATGCCAAATATTTTATGAATTATAACTGAGAGAAAAATAATATCATAAATTAATATTAGATCATTAGAATGTCAATTTTGTTTGAAAGCATATGGTTTTGGACTTAATTAATTATGAATATTGAATATTTGATGGATGATTTCTCGCGGTTCTCTTGGTAAATATATTCTTACAGAAAAAGAAAATATTTCGCAAAAGACAGATGAAAGCATATAGTCCAATCAAGATGTACATCCGTGCTTGCAAAAGGTTCGGTCATTCTGAATTTTTTATATGTTGTTAGGACCTGAAGTAATATTGAAAAACCAGATTGGCAATTTCCAAACTGCTATGGGAGCGACGGTATACCACAAAAAACCATGACATTTTTGGACTTCTTTCAGTTTTCGCTCAATATCTTAGAAAAGAAAGGGTTTGACCGCTATAGTCACCCCATAAACTTTTGAAGATAACTAAATTTGCTACAACTTGAGGCCAAGGCGAGCTCAATACAGTTATTGGTTCCCAAGATACAATTCTTCGAAAGACCAAGGGAAGACCAAAATTCGGCCAGATTCCACCCCACAAGCCTTGAGAGAAGCAGGCATTAAATGTTTTTTGGCTCTATATAAGGGTGATATCGCGAAGGATACTTTGGATTTCCTGAGGTATAAATCGTTTGTTACTTCAAAGAGCATAAACCTCGCTCGATTGCCATCGACAAAAGATATCGCAGGCCACCACGCAGCAAGTGCAGAAGTGGCGGGGAGTGAACTTGAGTCCTACAGATTGGGGGTGGAAGATGTCTTCTCAGGGACTCACCCCCATCTCCACCACCATGGATCCCGCACCTCTTGCTCTTCTGCGAAAGATGTCATGTAAATGCAAGAAAGGGTGCTCTGGGAGCTGTTCGTGCAGAAGGACAGGGCTCCACTGCTCTGTCCTCTGCCAGTCATGCGGTGGCAAATTGTGCATCAACGTTCCGGATGTAGAGCTGAAATGCTCGGATAATGAAGATGACCCGACTACAGATTGGGCGCCTCTTCCAGCATCCATCACAGCCATCGAGACACTATCTTCGTGCGAGCCCAAGTCCGAGCCATCGGAGATAAAAAGAAAGTCATGATTTGGCTACCTGACAATAACTACATGTTTTATTTTAGATTTATTTGTTGTTTACGTTGATGTAATTTGTCCTTATAGCAGGTACCATGATGTTTGTGCAAGCCCTTTTCGCCCTGTACAACATCCTAACAGTTGTGAGGGAAGTAGCGCTGGAAAATTGCTGCGAATACTTGCGGATTGTCAGAAAACATGGCGTTTTTTAAATTTAACGATTACTATGTTATGGCACGGCGAGTTTTTCGAAAATTGGGGATACCACTTCCCCGACAAAATCGCCAGATCTTACGCCTCTCGATTTTTTTGTGAGGATTTAGAGCATCGTCCACTCCGATCCTCCAGCTACTACGAAGGAGTAGAAAGACAACATCCACAGAATATGTGTTAGCGGGTATTCCAATATTCAAGAGAATGGACGACAATTGGACAACATTGTGTTCGAGAAGTGAAATCCGCATCCCTGTACTTTAAAAATTGATGATTAATATTATCGCAACACTTTTAATGTTGTTTCCATACCATATTAAAAAAGAAAATTTTCTCTGATTTTCTGATTATCAAAAAATTCTTCAATAATAACAAAAATAAATAAATTGTAACTGTTTGATAAATAGAAAATGAGACGTGAGAACTGCTCATTTTTATTATTCCCTGAAACCCACATAATAATATAACTGTTCTTGGATTTCTGCCGTTTTCGAGAGAACCGCCGGGCTTACAGATACCAATCTCGTCTCAAAACAAATCTTATTGAATTCTCTTCAACTTCATTTCATATGATATTTCACGTGGGAAGCGTATTATAGAAGATAACTCACAAAATATGTGGCCATTTTGAAGAAATTTAACTTTTTCGAAAAAAATGCATATTTTCAAAGAACTGTATCTTGGGAACCAATAGCTGTATTGGGCTCAGCTTGGCCTCAAATTATAGCAAATTTAGTTTAATTCATGAGTATAAATGGTGACAATACCGGTCAAACCCTTCCTTCTCTAAGATATTGAGCGAAACCTGAAAAAAGTCCGAACAACATCATTGTTTTTTGGGTATACCGCCGCTCGCACAGCAGTTTCCAAATTGCAAATCTGGTTTTTTAATATTGATTTAGGTCAACTCTGATCTTCATTTATTTGTTTTGATACTGCTGGGAGACAAAAAGAATTCGAAAAAATCTGAAACTTCTGCATTTGAGTTTCTTCAATAGCCTTGCAAATATGAAAAGCAACTCCATTTCATATGATATTTCACGTGGGAAGCGTATTATAGAAGATAACTCACAAAATATGTGACCATTTTGAAGAAATGTCACTTTTTCGAAGAAATTGCCTATTTCCATAGAACTGTATCTTGGGAACCAATAGCTGTATTGGGCTCAGCTTGGCCTCAAATTATAGCAAATTTAGTTTAATTCATGAGTATAAATGGTGACAATACCGGTCAAACCCTTCCTTCTCTAAGATATTGAGCAAAACCTGAAAAAAATCCGAACATTTCATTGTTTTTTGGGTATACCGCCGCTCGCACAGCAGTTTCCAAATTGCAAATCTGGTTTTTTAATATTGGTTTAGGTCAACTCTGATCCTCATTTAATTGTTTTGATACAACTGGGAGACAAAAAGAATTCGATTCAATAGCCTTGCAAATATAAAAAGCAAGATGCCCGTTGCATAATAAAAATTATACCTTCAAAAGTTCTACAATGTATGGATGAAAATTCTGCAAAAACGATAGTAATTGGAACTGTTTTGAGATTTGTGTGCCAACTAACTGTATTATATTTGTATCCCAATGAATTTGAAAAATTCATCCAGCCTGATCCGGCGAAAACAAGGGAATATAAAATACACCAAACAAAATTAATTGCAACCGCGTAATGTTGAAGGTTCAAATGATATATTTATAGAAAGTTACACCCAAATACCTCATTCTTTGTGTTGATAGATTGGCACTACTATTCATTTCATCTCAAACGTGAAATATTAGAACATAACTCACGTTATCACTCACTTATTTCCCTGTTTAAGATAGGAATGGTAGGTAGGTAGATGAAATATTTGAACACCATTTGTATTTTCATATAGAAACCTTTCATTAATCCACTAGATTATAGATATCAGTAGGTGCGATTAGATAACGTCCTGTTATTGCAAATAACAAGATGTCACTGATGAATAGGTAATATATTATAGTTCGAAACATTTCCAGTATGTCTACTCAGCTTTCTTATGGAAGTTATTCAGAAGAAAAAATAGTAAAAAATAGTTTTTTTTTCTACAAGCGTGTGTGATTCACCCTTTACCCGCACGCAATTTAGTTTGGGAAGTGTAATTTTCCCACAACATTGCCGGAACATTTTTCCCACACTAGTGCGGGAAATTTTTTCCCGCACTAGTGCGGGGGCAAAATATAACTGGTTGGTGATGGAATATGAGAGTTTGAGTTTGTTTGTTGCAGTATTAAGTATGTATGTTCAGAATCATCCATCAAATTGCACTATTTATTGTGAAAATTAAGGAATATTGAAAAATAAGAATTGATTATTATAAAAATCCCCCTATACAGGGTGGGCCACCAGTAACGCCTCGGTCTCTAGAAGGCTAACCACTTATCTTCTTGGAATTCTTCCTCTCTAGGAAGTTGCATGTCAACATAGGCTACCATTTGAAATTATTTCGAAACATATAGGGTGTCCCCAAAAACCATAAAACACTGAAGTTAAACTTTTTTCTATCGAACACCCTATATATTATTTCATTTTGAGATTCTCCCTGATGAGCTGATTTCAACGACCCATCATACTTGGAGTCTAGCAGTTATAATTACTGAGATATAGGGTGTGAAAAATCGAGATTTTTCAAGTTCAAGAATTTTTTGTGTGGGAACTATTCATAATTGGTCAAAACGGCTAACATGTCCCTATCTCAACTTTTGATTAACTATCTACTGATATTTAATTGGGACATATACCGGGTGATCAAGATTCTGAATTCTGCACCACAAAAGACACCTTAGTTAACAATAACTATCCATTAAATTTGATTAACAAAACTATAAAATATAGAGTACACCGATTATACAACAGATCACAACATAAAAAACAGAAAGAATTCAACTTATTAAATACAATTTCAATCCCTTACACAGTTGGTTTATCACATAAAATTTCACACATTCTATCAAAGTTCAACATAGATACATGTCATAAATCCCATAACACTACTAAAAATTTTTTTACAAAACTCAAAAGCGAAACTCCAACACTAAAGAATTCAAACCTTATATATTCCATTCCATGTAACGATTGCAACAAAACATACATAGGTATGACAACACAATACTTAGAAAATAGACTAAAAGGACATCACAATAACAAACAAAATCCAACTGCCCTAACAAAACACTTAATTGATAATAATCACACAACTACATTCAGCAATGTTAAAATTCTAGATCATGGAAGTAATTACTACAAAAGGTGCATCAAAGAAATGATATATATTAACAAAGACAAAAATTCGATGAACGATAGAACAGATATCAATAATTTAAGCAATATCTACCATACCATCCTATAACTATAAATCACAAAATTCATACTGTTTCCATTTCAATATCAATTTCAAAATATGATAAAATAAAAAAACCGAACACCAGTCCATCCTTAGAAATTTACCAAATATAAAATATGTTCTATGCCGACATTCTCTATACCAGTGTGTTTTGTATTTCATGTTCCGTGTCATAATTAAATACATCTGTCATTGTCAAAAATATTTCCAAATTAACCTCCAAAACATTTTCGTCTCACCTCGTTTTTCGCAGGCCTTATCAACGAAACATCAAAAAAAAAAATTTTTGTTAACTATGAAACCGAAAAAGAAAAAATAGTACAAACGATTCTCTAATTTTTACTACTTGGTTGAGGTACGTATACTTTTAATCATTTTCACAATATCAAAATGTAAAATTGTATTTTTTTAATTCACAGCTAACCTAACTCTACTGTCCATCATCATGTCGTCCTTATAATAAATTGACAAAGCCCATGGCCATGGGCGAAACGTTTTTATAAATTCCACCACTTCTTAACTTCACAAACGAATCCAAAACCCAAGAAACCCCAAAAAAAAAATATATATATATATATAAAAAAGAATTTACATTATTATTTAGTTGTGTCACTACTGATTCTGTCAAAAAACGTCCATTTCTGTTTATAACGACGATAAACTATAGACCAAACACATGTAACCAAATAAAGCGCGCGAGAAACTACACCTCTTTCAATTGTAATTCAGAAAGTGTAACTTGTAATCCAGATTAGTAAAATGTAAGTCAGGAAGTGTAATTCGTAATTCAGAATAGTTGATTGTAATTTAGAAAGCGTCAATGTATTTCAGATTAGTCAATTGTAATTCAGAATGCATAACATCTAATTCAGATAAGTGAAATGTAATTCAGAAATTGTAACTTGTAATTAAGAATAGTCAATTGTAATTCATAGTGTAATTTGTAATTCAGAGAGCATCACTTGTCATTCATAAACACTATGGACTTGAATAAGGGTAGGGAATGGAAATCAACGAATGGTTCATTGTGTGGTGAACATCAATATTTTATATTTATCGACCAACGGGCATATCTTGAAATGCCAGAGCTGCAGCATGGTGAATGGTGGTGTGTTGTGCCCTAGCACATCACCTCCAACAATTGAATTTTTAGCCTGGTCAGTATTCTGTTCTATGTAGATGAACAAGTCGTTGTACTCCAACACCCGGACCTCAAGGAGAATGGATGCATACCGGGTGTTCCTAGTTTCTGAATCATAAGTTATACTTTCTGAATTACAAGTTATGCTTTCTGAATTACAAGTTATGCTTTCTGAATTACAAGTTACACTCCCTGAATTACATTCCACTAATCCGAATTACATATTACACTTTCTGAATTACAATTAACTAATCTGAATTTCAAGTTATACTTTCTGAATTACAATCAACTATTCTGAATCACAGCTTATACTAAAGGTGTAGAAGCCATGACAGCACATACAACGTTTTTCCACAAACTCTCCAAACTTGACTAACCGAAATGACACCAGAAATCACCATAAAAATTCCCTATGCCCCCACTATCATGTAACTATACAAGTCTTGTATAATCAGATAAGAGAAAATAACCAAATCGAATGAATTTACCTGTTTCTGGTTTCCTCAGACTCTGAAGAATTGACTTGTACTCTTTGTGCCCATTTACTCTTAACTTCTTCTTGAACCCTCTGTTTCAGAGCATTCACCCTTTGCCTTTCCTGTTCTATCACTTGTGACCCTGCAAAAATCAAAATTCGTACAAATCATCGAGGTACAATTAAATCAAGATTTCTTCACCTTGTTGACATAGATGTAAATGTCGTATCCTTTCAATTTCCTTGAGAGATTCTATAGTTTTTCTGCCCAACGAACCGTGACCTTCATCGATATTTATAGGCGCATCTAAGGTGACTTTGCTTATTCTATCTATGTCGTCTTGACTAGGGAATTTTTTATCTGAAAAATAAATATTACTCGGCTCGAATGAAAAATTCGAAGAAACAATCGTAAAGGAATACAATTCTCAGACGAATTAAGGCACAAAGCAAATTCCCTATACTCAATTAATTTTCAGGAGCATAAACAATCCAGTTCCTGTTTATAAACACAAAGTCGTTTAAGAGCATTAGTGAAGTCAAATTCTATTAGGTTGTTTTCATTTAAAACTCACGATTGTATAAAAGTGAATCACCAATAGTTCATCAATTGGTAGATATTTAAAATTTTGAATAAACATTGTAGCCATAAAACATTATAATGGCTGAAATAGAAGACAGCTAGGACCTGAATTGAATCCCAAGGATGAAAGAGAGGAATGTTATTTAATGGTCAATTTAAACCTGAATCTTTCACTTGCGTAAGTTGCATGTTCATTTGTGTTTGATCATGGTTTGATCAACCTGTCAAACTTTGTTTCTATGAATATCTCTGTTTACATCAACTTTAGGAGGATGATCAACACTAATTAGGGGACCTGTGATCAGCTTTCACATGAATGCCCGTGCTTTTTTCGTCAGAACTAGTTCAAATGTAAGGTAGGCACATCAGTTCAAAATATAATAAAGTGACATATATACGGCAACTATATCAACGTTCATCAATCATTGTAGAACGTGTTCTTGTTGCTTTTTTAATGTTCTGGTTCCCACGAAAAGGGAAATCCTGTAATGTTCAGAGAACATCGTTGTCGAATGTGATATGAAAATGTGAAATTTGACAGAATTCAAAAGTGGAATAATTTCCTATCTTCAATGACATTTATAAACATTGGATAATGACAGACAAACCAGTGGTACGATGCTGATAACTGCCCAGTTCACCAAATCATTTATCGTATTTCCAAAGTCAATTGAAACAGCAAAAAACATCCGCCGTCTTTTAGAAGTTAAGAGAGGTTGGCGGTAGGTGGCAGACTTTTTTTGCCGCAGCCAATCTGTCTGATTTTGGAAAAACTATAACAGCTTTGTTACTACTGCATCACAAAGGCCGGGATTGGCGCAGTGGAAGAGCGTCCGTCGCACGACCGCAAGGTCGTGGGTTCGATTTCCAGCACGGGCAAGGAACTTTTTTCAATATTTTATTAACGAATTAAATATTGTAAAGTTTCGGAGCATCGGCTGGGGATAGTCCTGCACGATTCGCTGTTGCGTTCCAATTAACAGTGCTGCTCCTAAAGTGGCGCATGGAGTTAGTAACAAAGCCTATACAGAACACGCAGAAAGATATGATGATGTGGTTGTGAGCGTCAGAGAAGAAGTAGGACGGTGTATGTAGGTGGGTGTGGAAAAACTACCAGCTGAGCGTGAGAGCGGGCCAGCTGCTTAAGTAGACCTCGGTCTCGGGGGTTAACGATGATAGTTAGCAGGCCTGCCACTGCGCATATGGTAGTGAGTACATTACTAGCCTACAAAACACAGCTGAAAAACTCTGAAAAGAGAGCTGATGGGCGGTGCCTGAAAAGGATGTTAGCCAGCGCACTCAAGCGAACCACATCAGTCATTGAAAACACTTGGGGTTGGCAAAAAGGTCCCATTGGGGACTAGTTGCTGACGTGGAAACGTCCCCCACCAGTACCAGTACCAGTACTGCATCACAAATGTTCCATGATTTTAGGTGGACTTATGTCGGATCAACTAGAATCACTGGATGGTATTAGTTAGGGTCCCTTGATGGAAATTGACGTTAAAGTCATCTTGAGATGACTCGTCAATTTCCATCAAAGGACCCTAGTATAGTATTGGTAAGATAAAAGTTCGGACACAGAAATGACAACTGTTAGTGTTAGTTAGACAACTGTTAGTGTTTTGAATGTTTAGATTTATTGAGTTACACACCTTGCATTGTGTGACAACAGCATCATAGTCGTTCCACGCTTTTTCATTCAAGATTATTTTAATTCGACAATAACTCCACCAGGGAAATTGAAAGACAAAGAGCAGAATATATGTCCAAACTCTTATCTAACTAATACCATCCAGTGACTCTAGGAAGGATCAGGAGCTGGTATTTATGGGGCCAAGCCAAAGACAAGAATCTCACTGAGCTTAGGTAAATACGCGACGTTGTTTCAGGCAGAAGTTATTGCAATACATCATTGCGTGAAAGAACTGATAAGGCAAGCGTTTAAAGGCAAAACCATTGCAATCTATTCAGATAGCCAGGCGGCCATCAAAGCAGTCAAATCTATGCAAGTCAACTCAAAACTAGTATGGGACTGCATAGAAACCCTAAATGAGCTGGGCAGTCAGAACAGACAGACTCAGCATGGGTACCAGCACATACAGGGTACGAGGGCAATGAAGAGGCAGACTCACCTGCCCGAGCAGGAGCAAACAAAGCTCTGAATGGTCCAGAACCCTTCTGTGGTATTGCGAAAGCTATACAAAAGACTACTATCAAATCATGGATGCAAACCAAATCTCAAGAATGGTGGAACAACTCGCCAGGTATGGGACAGGCAAAAGAGTTTATTAAAAAACCATCGCCAACATTCACAGAATATCTACTGAGCCAGAAACGAAGTTCAACTAGAATACTAGTGGGACTTCTCACAGGGCATTGTAGGCTCAACAAACACATGAGTACGATAGGTCTGACTGAAGAACTGCTCTGCAGGTTCTGTCATGATGAAGAGGAAACAGCAGTACACATACTTTGCCACTGTGAGGGCTTGTCAAGACTAAGGTTCCTTACGCTGGGTGAGGAAAAACCAGAAGCCCAAAGATACACAGGGGATCTGAAAGCTAGCCTATGGAGTCTCATAGAGAAGGCGGGGCTAGCCGAAGAACTCTAATCGATTTTGAGGGCAGACACAATAGATCTGAAAAGGTCGCGGTGTGGAGGCAGATAGCCCGAAGGCCCCATTCTAAATCTAATCTAATCCAGTGACTCTAGGAGCAACGAGTTTCAAACGAATGAATAAAATATGAATTGTGGTAGAAAATTGCAGTTTGAACTGACCTATAACTGATATATAACATACATGCTTTATTGATATAATTTACCAGCTATAACAAAAGTTAAAATGTATTTCACTACAACAAAATAAGTTATTCGTTGCGCCCTGTCTGTAGATGGAGCAATTCAGGTCGTATTGAATCGTGAATTTTGGCTGCGCAGAATACTAAAACTAGGGTCCCTTGATGCAAACTGACGTATTTGTCATCTTAACAGGGTACGGACAGATCCTCGTCTCCTCTCACTCTAAAGTGTTTGTGAAACAGTTATATAGTTCCATCCCTGTTCAATTCTGGGGAGAAACACTAGATTTTTGACATTCATTGTTTTTTAGGTTATATTGATGTCATTGGCGCATCATACGTAATCTCCATATGGAATTCCTGATTCAACTATACCAAGATATAGATGAAAATCCTCTAGTTTTAGAGTTACTACTCCAGCATAATCTTTGCGAGGTAGGGAACATATAAATTGTACTGAAAGCTTAATATATTTCACCAAAAGAGACTATTCATACACTGTATACCAGGGTTGACTGAATTGACTGTATGAATTCTGATTTCAAGCTGAGCAGTAGTTTATCTATGAGCTGAATGAGCTGAGCAGCCTTATGATTGAGAAATAGTGAAAACCTAGATGTGGGTGTTTAAACTACTGTACTCATGTCATGCGTGCTGAATATATTTCCGGAAATCCAACTCGGAGAAGAATTCATGGAGTGACTAATATCACACTATGTATAAAACTTCGTCTAGGACGAAAAGTAGCAGGCTGATAAAAAGTAATACATAAAATGTGCCGGAGAATAAAGACTATAATATACTTTACCCTCAAGTTATTTATATGATTTTTCCGTCTCCCTTGAATAAAAAGTCATTTTCAAATAATATATTGATGAAAGTAACAAAGAAGTAGGTATACAGTATAACTTATAGGCACGTTATTCTCACTCTTGCATCCTACATATTTTCAATTTGTGGTAGAGTTATAATTAAATAAACTAATGTGAAAAAAAAACATTATTACACAGAATTCGTACTCGGCTGATTAAAATCAGTTTCATTGACTTCAGTGACCCACAATTCGGTTAGAAATATTTTGCTATTTTGTGAGAGATTGCTGCACATACCCTTCAGCGATATTCGTAGACTTCCAAGCAATGTCTCCTCCAGAATTTGCAAATAAACTTGAATTTTCCAAGTTTGACGAAAAAATAATTATCTCCAACCCCGGAAAACTCCGATGCCTTCCAATTTTGAATAGAGTCGGATCATAATTACAATACTCGTTCGCCATATGATCTTCCTCAACAAGTAAATTCCCTGTACATACCTATTATTAAAATTTTGAATGATTTTCTGTAGCGCCCTTGGATGTGACGTGACAGCAATGTCAGGGATGCCAGTAGACAAAACTAAAGTCTCTAGGTCATTAAAAAAGAATGCAGCTATGATCTGTCCGTACCCTGTTATGATGACTTTAACGTCAATTTCCATCAAGCGACCCTAACTAAAACTAGGGTCCCTTGATGGAAATTGACGTTAAAGTCATCGTAACAGGGTACGGACAGATCATAGCTGCATTCTTTTTTAATGATCTAGAGACTTTAGTTTTGTCTACTGGCATCCCTGACATTGCTGTCACGTCACATCCATGGGCGCAACAGAAAATCATTCAAAATTTTGATAATAGGTATGTACAGGGTATTTACTTGTTGAGGAAGATCATATGGCGAACAACTTTTGTAATGAAGATCCGATTTATTCAAAATTGATATCTGGGGGTTTTCGGGGTAGGAGATAATGATGATATGGCGAAAGACATTAGTTTATATAATTATTACTCTACCACAAATAGAAAATATGTAGAATGCAAGAGTGAAAATAACGTGCCTATAAGTTATACTGCGTATACCTACTTGTTTGTTACTTTCATCAATAAATTATTTGAAAATGACTTCATTCAAGGGAGACGGAAGAATCATATGTATAAACATAATATGGGGGTGAAGTATATTCTATTCTATATTTCCCTGCACATTTTACGTATTACTTTTTATCAGCCTACTTTTCGTCCTAGACGAAGTTTTATACATAGTGTGATATTAGTCACTGCATAAATTCTTCTTCGTGTTGGATTTCCGAAAAAATATTCAGCACACATTACATGAGTACAGTAGTTTAGATACTCACATCGAGGTTTTCACCCTTTCTCAATCATAAGGCTCAGCTCATGCAGCTCATAGATAAATCACTGCTCAGTTTGAAATCAGAACAGAGCAATGTCTGCTGACGTCACAACATGGCGAACTCGTCGTTTTCATCAGCTGATCGGGAGACAAACAAAGCTGTGTGTGAATTTTGATTTTATTATTTCTGACCCATCGGTGGTCTTGTTGAACTTGTAGATATTATACAAGAAGAATGTGAACATTTTCTTCCAAAAGGAGTATCTATTGATAGGTATATCACGTAAATCCAGCAATTTAAAATTGACAAATAAACCAATTTGAACTGTTCTTTGGACTCATTCACTTCTCTCACATGATTCATGATGAATGAATTAACAAACATTTCAATAAATAAACGCTCCAGGTATTGTATTTTAGTGGTGAATGTTCAAGAAAGTTACATGTACCCTTATGGAAAATGTGTATGCTTGTCCCCCCATCAGCTGTTCAATGGCCGACATATGACGTCACTGACAATGCTCTATTCATTCAGTCAATTCAGTCAACCCTTGTATACAGTATACGAACAGTCTCTTTTGGTGAAATATATTGAGCTTTCAGTACAATTCATAATATGTTCCCTACCTCGCAAAAACTATGCTGGAGTAGTAAACTCTAAAACTAGAGGATTGTTCATCTATATTTTGGTATAGTTGAATCAGGAATTCCATATGGAAATTACGTATGATACGCCAGTGCCCTTGATATAACCTAAAAAACAACAAATGTCAAAAATCTAGTGTTTATCCCTAGAATTGAATAAGGATGGGACTATATAACTGTTTCACAAACACTTTAAAGTGAGAGGAGATATCTTTACGTCTTATGGAAATATTATCATTGGGTTTCAATTTAGGAAGAACTTTAGCATTTTTGTTGTAATAATATGCTTGCTTCTCTTTATTTTTCTTTAATATTTCTACAATTGATTTTGGATCTATAATTTCACATTTCAAATTTTCAACAGTAATTGGAATCTTGGTTTTGACAATTCTGTTTAGTAACATTTGGGAGGGAGAATACCCAATATCTGGTATTGGTGTATTTCTATAAGCTAAAAGAGACTGGGAGATATCATCACCATCACCATCATTTTTTTTCCTCATCATCTGCTTAACAATACTAACGGCTTTTTCTGCCAAACCGATCATAAAACTACACTCATTCGAAAATTCTTTTAATAATTTTGAATTGAATGGATTATTATCTGCAAATAACACATCTGGATAGCCAAATCTCCCAAAAATTGATTTCAAAATTTTTAAAATTTCTACAGCACTCTTATATTTCAGTTGAGCCACTTCAATCCAATGGGAATACGCATCAATAAGTATCAAGAAACTTCTACCTTCATACTCTAATATATCTGTATGTAGTCTTTCATGAATACAGAAGGAATAGAGAATTCCTTAATAAAACGAATATTCCTTTCAAACAGTCCTGCAAGCTTAGTGATATTACTGATAATCTTAATTCTGAGTCGGTAATTGAAGAACCGGTATCTAATGATATCATTGCAGCAGAAGAAAGTATACTCGACTTTGATATTCTCAATGAGCCCAGTGGCAGTATGGCATCTCCTTTGATCTCTAAGCCCAAGAGAATAATCAATCGTCCACAGTACTTGAGAGATTATATAACTTGAAAAAAAAAAAAAACGTGTTATGTTATATAGATTTATAGTTGCCTAAGAAAAATGAATGTTTCATTTAGGTGATCATGACCACGAATACACATGTCAGGTTGACATAGATAACAGATACTGAACATTAGTTGAATATTGAAATATCAATAAAAATATAAAAATAAGTATATTTGCCTGATTATTACAAGAGACGAGGATCTGTCCGTACCCTGTTGAGATGACTTTAACGTCAATTTTCATCAAGGGACCCTAACTAAAACTAAACTAAAACGTACCCACCTGATGTTTGGTTAGATATTTGTCATTTTCATTTCATTATTTGAATAATCCGACATTTAACAGTTGAAGAATACGTATTCTAATAATTAATATCTGAGGTATCGACGTATAGAGTTTCATGTCTGATTGTTGAATATTTTGTGTCCAACATTCATGACTGTCAACATATTTTTTTTGATTTCGTGAAAATTTCTCTTTTTTAATTAACACATCTAAGAATATGAATACAGAATTTCATGATAATCGGTTGAGTAGTTTTGGCTTGAAAGCCCGACAAACAAACTTACAATCACATTTATATTAGTAGGGATTCACGAATACACTTCTGCAAATATTCGTGTACAATATTTTTGAGAAATAAAAGCTGCCATATCGATATTATTTTCAATTCGATTACTGATAAACACGAACAAACGCACTCAACCCACTGTCATTGCACACTGCACTTACCGATTCCAACTTCCAATATCGACTTCTCCTGGAACAACTTTTCGTTGAACGATTGCGACATGTTGTACAGGTTTTCGTCGGGTACCTTCGAATTGCTGACGATCATCGAGCAGCTGAGGTCAGTCATTTTGTGCAGCGACATATTCGACAGCTGCTTATCGATATCCTTGGATTTGTCGCTGTCTGTATCGCTGGAGAAATCCTGTTCGGATTCCTCGTTCGAATAGGTGGACAGTTCGTTGTCGATGCTTTTCAGTCGCTCGCGTATTTCTTCTAGTCTCATCATGCATTCCACCTAAGGACATTTTTTTTGGTTAGATGTCGATTTGTTTGCCGATTTTTGCCTGTACGTATATGAATCCGAAATCGAAATATTTTAAAAATAGTATATTTAAGTATAAATATGAGATATTAAGGTTCCTAAGGTTTTTAATTTGGTTAGTAACGAAGAGGTTTGGGACATTAGATTATGACGTTTTGCAATCATATTGGCAGTCCCTATAACTCCATAAGTTTTGTCGGTTTCGTCTCAAGATACCCTATATATATATTAAGAACATTCCTCTTATAGAACTATTATTTAGCAGGTTAACAAAAAAATCATCAAAACCAAATAGGAAAGTTTTTTCAACCATCTGAGTCGATCCATCTTGCAGTGGAATGAAGAACAGGGTACGGACAGATCCTCGTCTCCTCTCACTCTAAAGTGTTTGTGAAACAGTTATATAGTTCCATCCTTATTCAATTCTAGGGAAAAGCACTAGATTTTTGACATTCGTTGTTTTTTAGGTTATATTGAGGTCACTGGCGTATCTTACGTAATTTCCATATGGAATTCCCGATTCAACTATACCAAGATAAAGATGAACAGTCCTCTAGATTTAGAGTTTACTACTCCAGCATAATCTTTGCGAGGTAGGGAACATATAAATTGAACTGAAAGCTTAATATATTTCACTAAGAGAGACTGTTCTTAGACTGTATACTAGGGTTGACTGAATTGACTGAATGAATTCTGATTTCAAGCTAAGCAGAAGTTTATCTATCATTTTAATGAGCTGGGCCTTATGATTGAGAAATGATGGAAACCGAAACTACTGTACGTATTCATGTGTGCTAAATATATTTTTGGAAATCCAGCTCGGTGAAGAATTTATGGAGTGACTAATATCACGTATATCATGTATAAAACTTTGTCTAGGACGAAAAGTAGGCTAATAAAAAATAATACGTAAAATATGCAGGAAAATAAAGCATAGAGTATACTTTACCCCCATGTTATACATATGATTTTTCCGCCCCCCTCAAATTAAAAGTCATTTTCGAACAATTCATTGATAAAAGTAACAAAGAAGTATAGGTATACGCAGTATAACTTATAGTCACGTTATTTTCACTCTTGCATCCTACATATTTTCTATTTGTGGTAGAGTAATAATCATATAAACTAATGTCTTTCGCCATATCGAATCCGCCATCTTGAATTTTCCAATTTTGACGAAACGATCATTATCCTACCCCGAAAACCCCCAGATACGAATCTTGAATAGAATCGAATCTCCATTACAAAACTCGTCCACCATAATGGATCCGCCATCATGAAAATCCCAATTTTGACGAATTAATTATAATCTCCGACCCCACGGAAATTCACATATACCAATTTTGATTTTTGAATAGAATCGGATCATAATCACAAAATTCGTTCGCCATATTGGATCCGCTATCTTGAATTTCTCAATTTTGACGAAAAATCATAAAGTTCGACCCCGAAAACCCCCAGATACCAATCTTAAATAGAATCAGATCATAATTAGAAATTTCTTTCGCTATACGGGCAGCGCTGAGAATATTTCAGGTCGATAGAACACAACTAATTATTCAAGGCACCAACTTTTCAGAATAATCCTGAGTTGCGTTTTCCAGAAACGTCTAATGTGCCATCCACTGTGAATCAGCCTGTATATTGGATTGGTCATCTTGAATTTTCCAAGTTTGACGAAACAATCATCATCTCCAACCCCGGAAAACCCCAGATATCTTCCAATTTTGAATAGAATCGGATCATAATTACAAAGCTCGTTCGCCATATGATCTTCAACAAGTAAACACCCTGTACATACCTATTATTGAAATTTTGAATGATTTTCTGTAGCGCCCATGGATGTGACGTGACAGCAATGTCAGGGATGCCAGTAGACAAAACTAAAGTCTCTAGATCATTAAAAAAGAATGCAGCTATGATCTGTCCGTACCCTGTTAAGATGACTTTAACGTCAATTTTCATCAAGGGACCCTAGAATGAAGATAATAGGGCAGGAAGATAATCTTACAGTCAACTTCACCAAAACTATACTTTATTTAACATTGGAATTGGGACAAGTTTCAAAGCTTCAAAGCTTCATTATCAGCAAAAATCATTTGTTACAGGAAGTACTACAATGAGAAAGACAAAAAGTTACGTCAGAGAAGCATCCAGATAATGAAAGTCAAATAATCTTCACCTGTTCTGAGGAAAAATATTTCAAATGATGAAAAACCAAAAATGTAATTTACATATTAAAAATTGTTTTAATAAAAATGAAGTGTCCGCAATTGAATGCGGATCACCTTTGTCAAATTATTAATATCCTCATAATTAAGAAAGTAGTGGTAAAGATTTCTTTCTGGAGTGAAAAATTTACAACATTGCTTGGCTCCGACTGTCCTACATATCAGAAGTAAAATTAATTGAGTGAAGATTTTGTTTATTGAGATTTATTGTTACATGTTTGTTATGTAATTTTTTGTGCTCACCAAGTTGGATAAGGAATCCATCGGTCGGTAATTTTTTGTACTTGCCATCAATAAAATATGTAAAAAGTTGTACAACTGTAACGAGTAACGACCATGTTTGTATTCAATTTAGTGACAGGAAACTCACAAAAATATCTGTCTTCATGTGAATTACAGTATTCAAAATAAGCGACACGCCCTCTAGCGGATATTCAAGTAACTAAAAGAAAGTAAATTGCATGTTTGTTACCATTGCTTCAAAAAACTTAGTACTTGTAAAATTTTTCGAGTTAGAATTCTTCAGTATAGAGCATCTTGAATCATTATTGCTCTGTTTCTCATGTAAGGAATGGTTCCACACTGCATTTCACAGAAAATAATAATTTCAATCAGTGTTATTATCTCTTCGAGATTGAGTTCAGTTGCATTTTGTTCCCGGAAGTGAGAAATTACAAGAGACATTTATAAAAATACAATCCTTACACACAGTGTTATTGAAAGATTTTCTCCTATCTTCGAGATTGAGTTCAGTTGCATTTTGTTCCCGGAAGTGAGAAATTACAAGAGACATTTATAAAAATACAATCCTTATACTCAGAAGCAAAACACCTGAGTTGAATTTTTCCTGGGTAGATCAACTGAGTTATTTGCACACTCATCCGCAGCTTTGAGGTATTTTTCTCTTCTATAAACACAAGTAGATGGATCGACTCAAATACCTACTCTATGAGAGTCAACATCATATTTACTCCACTTAATACAATATTTCTTCAACTTACTCCTGAATGGAAACGAAATGCAAACTAACGTTATCTCAAGTTGGAGCATTTTCATTTTATATGAATTTCATGAAGTTGAAATAGTGAAACATGTCTGCTGAAAAGCTCCCTCTAATCACAAGAGTACTGTTTTGTAACTATATCTTTGTGTGTAGTGTTTGATATTATTTCATAATAAAAGTCGTTATTACTTGATAACTTTATTAATACTTCTGGTTATTACAAGCGTGCTTCCCTTCTCGTGTTGCCGTGAGGGAGTGTTGAGATGGCGGACGGAAGTCATCCTTAAAGTAATACCATAACGACAACCGTCAACAATGTCATGTCATTTGTCACTTTTCATTATGGTATGTATACATGACGAAAGCCTTAAGGTAGATACACAAATACATAACGTTTAAATGCCTAAAGCCTTAAGGTAGATACACAAATACATAACAAGTACATGGATAAACAGTCAAAAATGAAGTTTAGCCACTTTGGCACTGCGATCTCAAATTAAATGGCCTATAGTAATAATTGTGTTTTCATCTCTTGGGGCGCATGAAAGGGAATCCCTTTAATTCATAACGTTGATAAAAATGAAATTACTCCTTCAGCAAATATCTTCAAAACTATTGGAATTCCGGATTCATATGATACACTTTGGAATCGAATGTTCCGTAAATCAACTTGATTATTTCGGTAGTTCTCCGTTTCGTAAATATGGAATGTTCAGTCTGTTCCTGAAGAAAGGTTATTTGCGGAACTCAGTTAAATTACAACGACAAACAATATTCCCATTTTAATTATTGCGTTTTTATTATTGCGGATTCGTTCAGTGAGGTAAGTCAATAATATTCAATATATTTTCAGTGTGATGACTTTTTTTTTTATTTCAGGACATTACATCCTTTGCTTGTTATTACTGTTTCATAAGGCTGATTTAGCAAAGAAAATTTTTCAAAATAAAATTATTCCACTATTCGAGAAAATCACAAAGTGTGCGGCCGCCTCTGGTGGCTAACTTTACAAGTCTTGCGAGTATGAACAACAAATATGGCGACCATTGTTTCGAGTTTCTGTGTTTTATTTGAAAATAATTTATTTGTTGAAGTGCATATTCCAGAACCTCATTTTTCCCTGATGAAAAAACTCGAATTATTGCATCAACTTTTATTGTTTACAATGAAGAAGCCAGTACCTACCTTATATACATTTTCTGAAGCACAGTTAGAATCCTTGTATAAATGTTGGTTGCAATGATTCGATCTTGAGAATAACTCCAAGTCTTCAATTGCTTGTTTATGTAAATCGATGATATTGTTCATCCTGAGCAGCCTTTCCAACCATATCTTCTTTTCCCAGCCCCTTCACTAGAATTACATCTCCTTCATAAAAGCCAGTGATATTTCTTGATGAATTCGATTATTTCTTCATACCCATACAATATTGTTGTAATAGCTGATTGCTTATATGGCTCCATTCCAGTCCATGCAAGTGTTGAGTGGACCATTCCGACATTTCCATATGTTTGAAAACTGTGGAATTGTAGTGTAATATCAATGATGAATACCACCATTGTCCACATCAAAATGACAATTTCTCTGCACAAAAAGTAATTTTTCCCATACTGGAAACCTTGTACGTATTTTACGAAGTCAACTCATTATTCACTATTTTACAAAATGATTGCCAAATAACCAACTTGCAATGTGTGCATACGGCAATGTTTTTGTTGTTCATACTCAGTTTGAAATTTGACGTTGATTTGACGTTAAATAGAGCCATCTATTGGTTCGTGATTTTCGCGAATGTCCATATGTCACTGATACTAGTGTCACTATTGTCATAAACAAGTCAGACCAAAGCCACTTATTGGAATAATCATGGAATAATCATGAAATAATATACCGACCACTCTCTGAACTGACAGACTGCGTCTGCTTTTTAAATTCGACGTTATCATACGTTAGATAATCGTTGGGGCTGTCCGGCCACGACAACAGTTGGATTATCCAATAATCTGTCCCTACACACACCCTAAATTTAGCATTTAGCATGACCTCGGTTGATTAACGAAACATATCCATAAGAACGTTTCCTCCTACCTTGTGCTTCTCGATGGCCTTGAACTCGTTGTTGTTGGTCTTCGAGGTGTCCGACTTCTGCTGCTCCAGCTCCCCGATCTGCGACTGCAGCGACTCGATCCGCTTCGACAGCTCGAGCACCTCCCGCTGCAGCTCCTCCCTGCTGGCCAGCCAGTCCGCCTCCTCCTCCAGATGGTGGAATTCGAGGTCCTCGAAGGCCTTCTTCTCGTTGTCGAGCTGCTCCTGGGCGTGCAGGTACTCCTCGAACACGCGTTCGTATTCGGGGCCGGTCTTGTCGGTGTTTGCGAACTTTTCCTCCACTCTCGCCATGTTTTCTTGCGCGTGCTCGAGTTTCGTGCGGCAGATTCTTTGGTCTTCTTCTTGCTTCATCTGGCAGTCGCGCATGCTCTCTTCTATTCTTTGAGAGCGCTTTTGGAGTTTGTGCTTTCTGGCTTCGACTTTTTCCAGGTCGAGGAGCTTGGATTGGTGTTCGCCGGATATCAGAGCTTTCTCTAGTTCCATCTGTAACGAGGCCAAAAATTACGACGATCGCTTGGATTATAATTCCTCAATGTACGTGACACTGCTGTTCTGACTTTATTGTATATTTAGAGAACGGACACTATGAAAAGGGAAGATCTGTACTAGCTGCATACACGTAACTGATCAATAGAATGAAGAGATCTTGTATTTCATGTAAAATTCATTATAAAATCGTGAAGCGCTTTCGGCTAAATAACCATCATCAGTGCTATACTCGTTAAGAATTTACAAAAAGGTTCAAAAATTAGTGATCGACGACATCATCATGGTACAGTCGTATTAAAAAATAGCGTACATGTATATTACAGAGAGAAATTAATGTCATCCTATTAGCGTAAAACGGGCTATTGGGAATGATTGTTTACCAAATGTTGACAGTAAAGTTGTCGATAAGTTCTCAAAAACACAAAGCATTGGCTGAGCATAGTTTTACACAACTAGAACTAGGATACTTGTACGCTTTTTTATTGAATATGACTGTACAAACGGAATCAGGAACATACATACATTTAACAAAAAATACACAAATTACAAATTTGTTTCATGGCAGAAGACAGAAAACGGCGCTTACACACCGCTTGCACCGCTGTAATTTTGGAATTTTAATTATTGTCAGTTCTATCAGCCTAGAATTTCGGTTGAGATTCCGCCATCTAACGGGTAAAATGCGACCTATATTCCGCGATATTGAAAAGAATCCTTTTGTCAAGTAGGCCGTAGGTCAAGAACTTTGACCGAAAAACAATAGATGGGATTTGATAGGAGTTTCTACACCATCTTCTGTTCATCCTGGTTCGGATAGTAATTCATTGGAATGCATTGTATAACGATGACTCGATGGCGAGATATGTTCTATGAAATCGGCAGTATTTTTCGGTGATTGATTGAAATGGGATGTAATAAAGAATTGTTACCAGAAGCGTGTCTAAGTGGGAAGTGTCCTTTTGACTCTAGATTTCAGAAACAAGAACCCGATCAATTTGAAACATATCTGATGAAAATCCATCAAAAGGAATCTTTTCTATTGGATTTCAAAAAAAGTTTCTGAATTAATCCCAATGTATCGTATTATGACAGCCGGATAGTGCAATGGTACCACTACTTGACACCCTCTGTGGGAGTTTTGTTCTGTTGATTTTTCCTTAGTATTGTTACCTCAGAGTCGGTGAAAATCATAAAGTAGTAGGTAACGTTATTATCCCTTGAATCTAAGACAAAAATGGGTATAGATTCGGAATCCTCAGACATTTAACGTTACATTAGCTAATGATTGAGCCACTTTCGAAATTTTTCATGTTTTCTTCAAATATCAGACAAAAATGAGTACAAATTTGGAATCCTCGTGACATTTATGTTAGATTAGATATTGAGCCATTTTTCAAATTTGTCACTTATTATTTCAGCGAAACACGTTAAATTGGACAGTTACTATACAGTGTCTGTCACTTTTGATGAAAGCATCCTTGTATCTGTAATTGATTATTGATTATTGAGGTGATATTTTGGGATTCGCACAATCTAGATATTCTGTTTGTTCATTTGACTGACCAACTATTTGTATCTGAATGAATCATCATTCTGAGTTTCATTGAACTATTGACTCATTTTACTCGATTATTTGGGATTTTATCTCCTTGTTTCTATAAAATAAAAATATGAGTATCATTCCAATATATGTGTAGTAGGACAAATCAGATGATTTGCCCCAAAATGTCACTGCGTTTAACAAATTTTTCTATCACTGAGGCTAAAAGAAAAATCCAATAGCTTGTCAGTGACACTTTGTTTGAAGAAAAGAAATAAGGATATATTGAAAAAATATCGAATTTTTACTTATCTTTGGACGTTTCGGGAAAGAATCTCGTGTTCATTTAGTTTGACACTTCTCAGTGACATACTGATGTTGGTATATGGATGAGTGATGATGTTATTATACAAATGAGTTACAGGATATTTTCATTGATTGATCTTGAATCTACCATTTTCATGTTCATTTTTCAGTAGTGAATACCATGGTATTTCTATATCAACTGAACAGGAAACAATTCTTTCGTCTCTTTTGGTTGTTATCTTCCTTCCCTATGATTTTAATATTCCACTCTGCGATATGTCCATTGTCCATTGTCAGTAAGGATGTGTTCAGTTAGCTTCGATTTATCGATATGTCTTTTCTTGATATTTTACTTGTGTTCTTTCATCCTTACTGAGATAAGTCTCTGTTTCACCTGTATAAAACTTTCCACAAACACGAGGTATACTATTTATACTATATCTACAGACAGTATTTAAACTATTGACTGTTTTATGCTGAACCATTTGAACCCACCTTAGAGAGAGTAAATAAATAACATAAATAAGAGTCTCACACTTCAAATTACTCCTTACCTCTCTATGCAGCTCTTCTTCTTGTATCTCGATCTCGGCCATCTGCCTTTTTATCCTCGAAATGACGGCCAAAATCTCCTTCTTCTCCTTCCTCAATTGCTCCAACCTCTTCTTCTCGTCTTCGTTCCTTTCTTTAGCATCGTCAAAGTGGCTGCTGCTGTGTGGACTGTCGTGGTCGCCGTTTATCTTTTTGTGTTCTATGGACGACGAACTGTCCTTCGAGTAGTTTTCTATCGGCGATGGACTGCCCTTCGAGACGTTTTCCAGCGGATAGATGTAGTCAGTATGGGCGATTTTGGGCGGAGGAGTCTCGAAGATGTCGATGTCGGGCGGGAATTCTTTGGAGTTGTGCAGGTTCTGTCTGAGTATCTGTTCGGCTTCCCGGAGAAGTTTTTGCTCTGCTTCGAGGATGGCGTATTTGCTTTCGATAAGGTCGGCGTTATCTTTCGGAGAACTGCAATGAAGAAGTACCAAAATACAGGGTGTTTCAGATTTCAATCGGAAAAATTTGATAGTACTCGTGAATATAAAAAAGAGGTTATTGAAACTTGTGCGTTTTGGAGATTAGCGTTCGAGCTTCAAAATGTTGTCTATAGAAATATTATATATTTTGCTTTTTGGATGTATGATAAATTGATATTCATCATACAGGACGTAGAAAGAAATTCTGAATTGAGAAAACCTAATCACGAATGAAAATTGTGTATATAATGAAGAATGGTTGAAAGAATAACTGGACTTGTCTATGAGTTCTGTGGCTACTTCGCGTACTGTAGCTGAGTTCGGAAATAGAAAAGTGTCTACACTTTTGACATAGTGTTCACCATTCCGTTCGTTAAATAATCAGGTATAAATGCAGAATGCACTATTCAACGTTCTGAATAGAAAGATAGTTGTTATAAGTATACAAATATGAAAAATTCATTATCTTGTTCAGTGAACAGCTAATTGTTTTTCTGTAGATTGATATTCAACTTGGATGGAAATAAAATGAAGCAAATGAAAAGAGGTACAACATAATTTTATTCACAATGTTAGTAGATATCATATGAGGTCAAGGTGATTCACATCACTATACAAGATACATCACCTGAAACTTTCAACATGTGCTAAATACCACATGGAGATAGCAGCATTCTTCAACTGATATCTCTGGATGTGCTATTCTCGAAGTTTCATACATACTTTGCGTGTATGCCGTGTATTGATAAATCTGAATAATACTCGTATATGTTTCGTTGAACAACCCATCATTTGATGAAGATCCATCAGTTGGTGAATTCAGCAAAACAGTGAATATGTATTTACTATACAGTGAGGACCAAAAGTCCGTCGCCCCCCCTGTAACTTCTTTATTCTACATATTACAAAAAAATGTTGAATACATAAGTTGTAGGGTTTCATTCGATCTCTTTAATGGTTTAAGTTTCATTCATACAGAGTGTCTCTGAAAAGCACGGTGACTCAATAGTTAATTTTTTTAAATGGGACACCCTGTATTTCATTGCATTATTACATTCTACATTGAATTCTGAACAAGTTTGATAAATGGTTTTCTATCAAAAAAGTTAATAGTTTTGGACTTATGAACACTTGTAAATAATTATTTCAACTACTTTTGCACCAGTTCACGAATAAATTAATGAGGTAGGCTATGCACGCTAGGCGCGTTTATTTTATCCATGACAACGAAAAAAAACTCCTATCTGTTTTTGCCAAATGTCATTGACATTTTGAAGGTTTTCAGAACTTTGTTTCAAACGGTTTTCAATTTCTCTTGTTGATTAATATGGCTCGTTCAGTAGCAGACAAAGACAAAGTTGAAGCCGTTATCATATTTGGTGAAGCTAACCGAAATTAAAACGCTGCTATTCGCATTTTCAATGAACGGTTTCCAGAACGTCCGATGTGTCGAAAATATCTGCAGGAATTGGTGGCAAAATTTAATCAAACTGGCACCGTGAAAGATGCTCCGAGATCTGGGAGGCCGAAAATAATTACGGAAGATGTTGAAATTCAAGTACTAGCCGAAATGGTAAAGAACCCACAAATTTAGCTTTCAATGAAGTCAATACAGTCCATAATTATGGGACTAGACAATTGAATTACTTGATTGCAAATACATTCAAGTCAAACATTGGCAAACAATCTGTTTTTCACAATGGAATAATTTTATACAATTCATTACCGAATGAGTTAAAAAATATACATGATGCAAGAAGGTTTAAAATCAATCTTAAAAAATACTTGCTCAGGACAATTTGAAAGAAAAATATGTGGCATGATTTGATTACTTAGGAATGAAATATAACTTCAATCTTATAAGACACAATATTAATTCGTTTCCACTGAGTGGAATTCATTATAGTTAACCCTTTATTATTTTTTTTTATATGTATTCATGTATCCCTATCATAAACAGAAATGTTTCTTGGGGTAATAAAGACAATCAATCAATCAATCAATCAATCAACTGAGCAAGTAGCTGAGACATGTGATGTTTCTAAAACATCAGTAAAGAGGGTTTAAAAACAAAATAAATTCCATCCTTACAAAATAAAAATTTTGCACCAATTGGTTGGAGATGATCCAGACCGGCGACTTGAATTTTGCGAGACCATGGCAGAAAGAATTGTTGCAAATCGACTTTATTTGCAACACATCTGCTTTAGTGATGAAAGCACTTTTTACCTAAATGGAAATGTGAATACCCAGAATTGTAGATATTGGAGTGATGAGAATCCCCATGAATTCCGCGAGGGGCATACTCAATTTCCCCAGAAAAATTAATGTTTGGGCTGGTATTTTAGGTAACCACATTGTAGGTCCGATATTCTCGGAAGAAAATTTAAATGGTCCCAGATACCTCCAAATGCTGCAAGACACAATAAGTCCCAGTATCAATGAGATCGTTGCGCAAAACCATGAATTTTACTTGGATGTAACATTTCCGAAAGATGGAGCGCCACCACACTATTTTCGGGGGGTGAGAAATTACTTAGATGAAAGGTATCCAGGTAGGTGGATTGGACGTCGAGGTACAACAGAGTGGCCAGTTCGCTCACCGGACCTCTCACCGCTTGATTTCTTTATCTGGGGCTATGTGAAATCCGTAGTTTGTAAGACAGTTTGTGGGTCGTTAGATGAACTGCGCCGTCGAATTATTGAAGTGTGTTCAGAAATAACACCTCAAACCTTGATTAATGTTAGGGAAGAGTTTACAACCCGACTATTTATGTGTCAAGAAATGCATGGTGGACATGTCGAGCATCTTTTGAAATAGATAAAAACTCTTCGTTTTTAGTTATAAATTAAAATATCTCTTGAATTTTTAATGATTCTTGATCTGTATTTATGGACTACCTTATTTGTTAATAAAATGTTTCAACTTCATTTGTACTAGTTTTTCGTGAGATTCAAGAACTCTAACAATTGTAAAATGGTACGACGAGGTAAGTTACACATGGTGCCATCAGCAGTTTGCAACATTGGATAGCTTTCAAAAAGTTAGGATAGGAAAGTGGAATACATTGTGATCCATTTGTTACGATTTTCTCATTGAAATGGCGCGAAAGTAGTCAATATAATTATTTACAAGTGTTCATAAGTCCAAAACTATTAACTTTTTTGATAGAAAACCATTTATCAAACTTGGTCAGAATTCAACGAATTCAACGACAGGGTGTCCCATTTCAAAAAATTAACTTCTAAGTCACCGTGCTTTTTAGAGACACTCTGTATGAATGAACCGTAAACCATTGAAGAGATTGAATGAAACCCTACAACTTATGTTTTCAACATTTTTTTGTAATATGTAGAATAAAGAAGTTACAGGGGGGCCGACGGACTTTTGGTCCTCACTGTATATACGAAATAATTTGACATCCGATGCCAATGCGCGTTCGTTTATTTTCCGTGCAGTGCTATGAGCAAATGACACCAAGATCACGTGACTTTCACACTACACCAAACAACACCACACCATCTCGCCTGACACCGTGATTTCCGAACTCACCTTGTGTAGAGAACACGAAGTACTCTCTTCGCATTCGATTGCACGAAAAGAATTTTGAAAAACTCACCTATCCTTGTTCGAAGTGACGAACGTCTTAATCCTCGTCCTAGGCGACGGCGGATAATTCCCCGCCGGATTATGCTGCACGTACACGTTCTCGTAAGGACTGCCCCGCTCCAAGCTCCTGTACTCGACGTTCTCGTAGTGGAAGGCAGAAGGGCTGACGTTCTCGTGACGTAAGGCTGCAGGGCTGACGTTCTCGTGACGTAAAGAAGCAGGGCTGACGTTCTCGCGACGTGAGGCGAAAGGGCTGACGTTTTCGTAGTTTTGGTGGTTGTTTTGCTTCAGCAGCTCGTTGTGCAGCACGTCCAGAGGGGAGGGAGGCGGGGTGCTGCTGTAGCTGGGCGAGGGGGGGCCGTACGGGCCCCGCTTGTCGCGAGGGAGCGAGCCGTTCGTTATTATCCTGAAAATTAATTTTGGTTTGGTCAAAGATCAAATACACACTAGATGAGCACCGTAAATGTAAGAATGGGCAACGAAGTTGGGAACGAACAGAGCGGTGATAATCCGCTGTGCGCATCTATTCATTTTATGGACGCGTATTCCACCGACTCGGATAGTTTTACACAGGCGTTGACTATCTAGTGTGTGTATGATCTTTGGTTTAGTGAAGTTATTTTCTGATGGTGAATTTTCCTATTTGCAGAATTTCCGAAGTTGAGTTCTAACACCATATAGGAGTAACTCGCCCGTATGAATTTTTATACAAGCATTTCGGATTTGATCACATTACAATCCAATATGGTGAATTCCTGGTTTTTCTGGAAATGCCAGCAACTTAGTTTTTTTCACAAATTCGAATTGAACAGGTCAAAACAAGTGCAATCTTTATTTCAAATGTTATTTTTTCGAAAAAATTGGAATTAAAATTGTTCTTTAATTTTACCTCGTGGATAAATGAGATGTAGTCAAGGCTATTCAAAACAGAGAAACATAATTTTTTGAGTTACTTATCGATGAATCAATTCGTCACATCACATTTTGATCACTTTTTTCTTCAAATGGAACCCCTATGCGCCACATGTCTCTCTAGAGTCTAGAACATACTTGGAGGAAAAGAATGACATACCATTTTAGTATTTCTATGATGATGATAAAACCTGCAAAAATTTCGATTCATCTTCAATCAGGATTCCTTCTAGTAGTTTTTTAGAATGAGATTCTTTCTCTTGAATTTTCATCAGGATTTCAAATAGGAAATGGTACTTTTTCAAAATTAAGTTTGAAGTGAAAGTCAGTATCTACAGATAAATGCTTAATAGCTGTGCCTCTAGTTTTTAGGGCTAAGTTTAAAAAAAAATATTTTTTCTCGAAACGGTATAGAAAGTAGATTTTCTATGACACTTAACAGGCACCAAAGGTGTACTTTCTCTGCCTAGGCAGAAAAACTTTGTTGCTATGCAACGTTCCAAGTAATTTGAATGCAATTGGTTATCAAAATTGACACTGTGGCATTGGGTGAACATAAAATTATAGAAATTTCAATAAGAGGTGGGAAATATGTTGATAACCCGTCAATTATCGTACGATCGTGCACTATTTTACCCACTACCAAAAACGCTAATTATTTAATCGAATATACCTTGACTTAACGAATCGTTAGGAACATGTAACAAGCGAGCGTTGTATACTATTAGGCAATCCAACTCAGGTTAGAATCAATATGGCGCCTGGTTGGCACCATCTAAAAAATCAATAGAATTATGTTACTAGAACAATTGAATACTTTTTGTGATTTTCTTTGATTATATGACTTGTACTTCCAAAAGGAGTTCGTGTATAAAAACGCTTTGTCTACAACTGTAAAGTAATGATTATGATTTGACACTTTTTTGAATGTCATAATGACGTTTATTAACACACTCATGCTTTTTTGAATATATTACTGCACTAGTTACTGTGATGAGATAAGAAATGAATCTCAACCAAAATAAATCGTTTATTTAATGAATACAAAGAAAATTCAAATTACACTTGTCGCTGCATTTTCGAGGTCGGATGGTAGATCATCTTCACTTGAAGACATTTTCACTCAAGAAACTTGATGATGGTTCTGGATATCCATCTGACAATTCAATTTAACATCTATAAACGGCTTTGCTTATCCCTACCGATGCTACCGTTACAAAAATGATCACAGGCAACTTGTGTTTCCAATTATCAGAAAACTGTCATGAGTAGGTACATCGAAGTAGAATATTAATAAGGTACATTTGAATATAGTTATGAAAACGTTGACATTTGAAGATAAAATTTAGTACTTGCACTGTGCACTGTGCAATCCTCCCACGCGTGCGTTAATAATGTCTATGTCCCACTTGTCACGTTAATAACTATTATCACAAATAAATAATTTTGTGCCAACCAGCGCATAGTTTGACAAGTCATTGGATTGTCTAATTGTGTTCTCGGTTGTCACTCATTCTACGAACTGTCAACTTTGACGCATTCATTTCAATTTGAGATAAAAATGTATCAACAGGAATTCTGATCACAATTTGAACTTTAGTTGTCGCTATATTTATGATCAATTAGTTGTTATTTCTATTTTTTTGTAGAAAAAATTATGTTTCACATTGCAGCAAAGTAGATTGACTGCCGCTGCTGATAGTTCATAGCGAGGCTAGGAATTCAGTCAATCTTCTACTCTGCTGCCTGGTTAAACAAATAACTATCGTATTACGTGTGACGAAAAGTAACATTTTTTGAAGCGAGAGAACAATTTACCAGCCGAGTATTAAGTGATTTTGGACAGTTGATAGAGAGGTTCAGAAGCCAATTTTCCTATATTAATATCATTGAAAAGAAAATGTATCATTTCTATTTAGCACAATCTTACCTATTGGGCGTTATAGGTTTATTCTTCTCGCTCTGCTGCTTCTCATACTCCGCACACATATTCAAAATCTCCTCCAGTCTCTGTTGCTCAGCCTTTTCAATCTCCTGTTCTTTTATCCTGTCCTGCTGCGCCTATAGAACAATCACATCACCGCCGAATCGGATTTATTACTAATCGTAAAAGTATCAAACTTATCTCACGTTAATCGAAACCAAAATAAATAATCAGTCGAACATTGCACCATAATTGTACCTCATCAGCTGTGCCTGAGTGAGAATGTTTCATGAAAAAAGACTATACTTATATTGACCTCAACGGAAAAACTGGTAAATATTTACTTTGAATAGAGTAGATAAGAGGAGGATGTGTATTTTAATCTGTAATTTATTTGAATAATATGTGGAAAGTGTTGCAAACCTCTAACATGTAACCAGGTAGGGCAATCAAGGTTGGTACAATTGGTAAAAAGGTTCTTATTTAGGGTTGAATGGCATTGTTTGAAATGGGATAGTGGACTGATTTATTTTTTATTCTTGATCTTCACATTAATGCGTTCAATTTTATTTTTCTCATGGTTTCAATGCCTCAAAATCACATATAAAGTCACAGTCTAATTCAAACGTTTCAAATTTGACACTCGTAACTAATGATGTCATGACCCAATGAGTAAAGCACATAGTTGCCAGATGTAAAAAAGTACAGCTAGAATGCTGGAAATTGTGATATATATCTGATGTATGCAACCACCATTGCATACATATGTACATGCGCGGTTGAAGCCAGAGCTGACAGCAGCGCTGGACGCTACAGAGTTTTGAATAAACCAGTTGCCTTCTAGATGTTGTCTTAGTCACACCACATACCTGTCCCAGAATATATAACAGAAATAGCCGAAATTGTCTGAATAAACATTGATGAATTATGGTCTATTGCTCTCCTGATAAGTGGAAATATTCCTAGTTGTTTTCAACTCGATGATATTTTAGGTGATTTTGCGCCACGATTTCTCACAAGTTCAACCATTACACTGAATTTCAATGTGGATATTGAGCATACTTTCCGTAATGAAGGATAGCCTAGCCTGCTCTCAGGTTATTCTAATCCTTTGGGTATGTAAGTATACAGGGTGAGTGAGGATAAGACCGACAAACTTCGTATACGGATTCCTAACCTCATTTTGAGGAGAAAGTTCCTGAAATGCACCCTCTCTGAGATACGGGGTGCCAGAAGTACGAAAAAAAGTAAGTTTTATATTGATTTCTTCGGAACCCCAGCAAGAAAAAAATGCAATCTTGGTATACTCCTCCAGAATAATCAGGGTGATTAGTTGTAGTTTTCATTTTTTGATTTTGTTTAGCAGTGGCGTAGTAACGGTTGAATGTCGAAACATTTTCCTTCACATAATTATGTAGACATATGAAATGTCAAATTGGTGTGTGCAATCAGTTAGGTGCATTGATACTTAACCTAAAAGTAATAACATTCCACATGTGCATGTGCCTGAATGTGCAGGTTCACAAGATATTTGTGAAAAACTGAAGATATGTCTTGAGATAATATTGCTACCAGTTCGAGAAAAAAAATTGTTATGTTCAATTCTCTTCCCATATTCAAGAACCAGTATCATAAAGAGGTTGCATATTTGAGACATAACTCAAAATTGTTCCCGTGTGCAATAAGAAGTAGGTTTGTCGATTTACTTCTGACTCACCCTGTGCTATGTTGCCAATGTTCTCAACATTGAAAAATATTCAGGTGGCTGAGACATTTTCTAATATTTCATGAGAGATAAGCGGTAGGCGATTATCGCATGCAGAAAATTGGTCTCAATATTACCTCAAGACATATCTTTAGTTTTTCGCAAATAGCTCAGAAACCTTTACGTTTGGGCATGTGGAATGTTATTACGTTCAGGTTATGTATCGATGAGCCTAACTGATGTCATATTCCAATTCGACAATTCGTCTATCTGAGAAAAAATATGAAGAAAAATGTGGCGATATACAACCTTAACTAAGCCACTAATTAACGAAATTCAAAAATGAAGACTCCATTTGATTTCGTTGAAGAATCTGGAATAGAATACTAAGTTTAAATATTTTGACGACAGGGGTTCTGAAGAAATTAATATCAACCTAATTTTTTTGGTACTTTTGACACCCTGTATCTCAGAGAGAATGCATTTTAGGAGATACGTTGTTTTCACCCTTAAACAAGGTGCGAGGAATCCGTATACGAAGTTTGTCGGTCATATTCTGTCTCACCTTGTATATGTATAAGTTAGACAAATCTTAGGATACATATTACTGTAAGAGTTGAAAAAATCTGGATTCGACACAGCACATACATGCTGTTAAAAAAACTCAACAAAACATTATTGGTGTAAGAACTATAAGTGGATAACTTTGTAAATTTTGAATCTGCACTGAGATTTGGAATCATCTTCTGGAGAAATGATAGCTCCCTCCATTCAATTAAAAAAATTACACGAGAACAAAGAATGTGAAATACCCCGTACCTACATAGGTTAACTGTATCAGAAAAATGCCCTCAATACTCATGTGTAAAATTCTTCAATTCCTTACCGAACTGGATGAAGGCTATAAAATGTGAGCTAATACAACTGGAATCTTATAACCTTGTAGGCTTTTGTATATGATTTTCTCTACCTTTTTGTTGACGTAATATAAAATAAAATGAATATTATTATTATCATGTCAAGTTTGACACGGTGTGACTTGTCAATCATCCCAGACAGCACCAGATATTCCATGAATATTCAAAGAATATTCTTTTTGGATATTGCGAATATTCATGAACATGCCAGGGATATACATATCAACTATGGAGTATTCCCTGAATGTGCTGGTGGGGAAAATTTTGTATATTCCCGGAATATTACACAAGGAATATTCCCTATATATTCAGAATGTACCTATAATATCCTAGGAATATTCAGATAATATTCGGAATATTCCTGGAAAAATACAGGAATATAAATAAATGAATATTCCGGGAATATTCCGTAATACATATTCATAATTGAAAAAAGCTGACCCAAGATGGGCTCGAACTCGGGACTTTCAGACTGCCAGATCAACGCCTTAACCACTTGGCCAGTTATCGAGTTGAATAATAATGTACATAACAATTTATTGAATTGCGTTGTTCAGAAGGGAACCATAAACACTTCCAGTTCCATATGGGCTCTTAACAATTACGATGATCTGATTGAGTACTTTGATCACCATCAAAATTGTGGAGACGACTTTTTGTTTTTGATCCCTGGTAACATAACCACTTCACTTTGAAATACGATGGACTTCCACCACAGATTTCAAAATCAATGTTTGATACTCACATCTATAAAATTGTGATTGGTTAATTTTCATACTTTACAATTCCATTGAAACACATGGGAATATTATTGAAATATTCCATGAATATACAGGAACAGAATATTCAATTGGGAATATTCCTGGAATATTCATACCTGAATATTCCCTGCACTATCCAACTGGAATATTCTAGGAATATTCACTTCAGAATATTCCTTCTGGAATATTCCCTGTATATTCATTCTGGAATATTACTAGAATATTCACATTTGAATATTCCTTGAATGTTCCAGAGGCACGTATATATTCTGAGAATATTCGAAGGATATTCGGAATATATTCTTCCCTTTTAGCATATTTAGAGAATATTCTAGGAATATCCAGTGCTGTCTGGGATATACAATTATTGTTATCTCTTAAAATCTATGGCATAAGGGGCTTATCGAGAGGCTTATCCTCTAATTGGATCTCCTCTTTTCTAAGAAATCGTGAATAATTCGTCTCCGTTCAACATTCTAATCATGATGGAATTCTAAGGATTACCTCCAAACCTATCTCTGTTGATATGGGAGTTCCGCAAGGGTCCATTCTAGGACCTATCTTATTCATACTGTATGTCGATCAAATTGAATCCGTTCTTGATAAAATTAACTACATTGCTTATGCAGATGATTTTTCTCTGATTGTATCGGCATCTGATACGCTCTCTGTGGTCGAAAAATGTAGTAATTCTGTAAGTCTAGCATCAGATTATTTCGATGATTTTTTAAAGTTGAAAAGACACAAATCATCAGATTTCATCATCGTCAGAATAAGATAGACCAATTTGTATTCGACCATAATCACTAAATTTTGAAAAATAATGATGATCCAGTAAAATTTTTAGGAATTAATTTCAATGAGTGTTTGGATTGGAAATCTCAATGTTCTCACCTAATTCCAAAATTGTATTCTCTGGCATATCTATTCATGATTTAACGTTTTGTGCTTGATGAAAATCAGTTGCTGAGTTTATATCATGCTCAGGTGGGATTTAGACTAAGGTATGCTATCTGCTTTTGGGGTCATTCCACAGTGGCCAAAAATGTGTTTATCGCACAAAAACGTATTGTTGGGTGTATTTATTGGCAGAGTATCAAGAAGAAACACATGCAAGGATTTGTTTCTTCAATTTCATATTCTGACATTGCCTTGTATTCTTATATTTGATACATGTGTACATGTATTCCAGAACAAACAAAATTTTGTAGTAAATCGCGCTATTCATCAAATTGATATAAGACGCAAAAATCTTTTTCATGTACCATATGTTAAATTTAAAATAACTTCTGTTGCTCCAAACTATATTGGCCCCAAAATTTTCAATCATTTACCTGACATAATAAAAAATAGTGATTCTATATCTTTATTCAAACGTAGACTTAGAACTTTTCTAGTAGATACATGTTTTTACAGTGTAAGAGAATTTTTCTCATTATGAATCTTTGATTCTGACAATTTGACTATTCCTATATAATATTTGTATTATCAAAAAGAAGATAAATAATTTATTATTATTATTATAAGTTATTCATGAAATATTGTTCAGAGGAAGTAACATTGACACAGCATTGCCACTAATATGTAAACGAATGCTATGGACGTGTCAATAATAATTACAAAATTCTTTCCACAACCGGAAATCAGGCAACAGCACAGTGGACAGGCAATGTATGATCTAGAGTTGCGTTTTATTTGGTCCATTCTGGTAGCGGTGGTGGGAACAGAATGACGTTTACAAATAAAACGAGAAACTTCATAACCTTGCTTGAGAGAATTTACATAGATCCAAATAATTTCAAAATCATAATACTAGAGTTAAGAATCTAGAAAATAAATCAACTAATATTTGGAGCAGTGATTGTGGTGATTGAAGAAACTTCTCTGAGATCGACAGAGTTTATTTCATCTGGGAATGAACATATGAAACCTGTCTTACTTGAAAAAATCATGAACTAGTGAAACTCATGCTGAAAATGTCTTCTAAATGTCTTTTACTTTCAAAAAGGTTCGTTTTTCGTCAATATAATTTGATTTTTTGACACCTGTCAACAGTCATTCCACATCATTCCTTGTAGTGAGACCGAATGGAAAGTAGCAACCGGAATCGGAAAAGTTGCAAATAAAACGACACATCAAACTGATTCCGGTGGCGGAATCAGATAAATAAAATGCAACTATGTTCAAATATAAATAATTCTGTCTCATTGAGCCAATAAGTCTACAGCTATAAATATTCACCTGATTCCTTTTCAGCTCAGCCTCATATTTCCTGTGCCCTTTCTCCTCACCAACATCGCCGAATCCAAACTCCGTGAGCTCCCCAAGAGACCCACTTCTCCTTCCATCCCCCCTCGACAAATTCGAAGTAGGCCCCGGCGTCACACTTCTTAAGTACCCCCCTGGGTTCCTGTTGAAATTAGGAGAAGGGCAGTTGAGCTTGCTAACATTTATATTCTTTCCGGCACTGGAAACTTTGTTGTTGAGCTCGTTGTGGTCGAAGTTGACGTTTTGTGTCTTGGCGATGCAGCCGTTCTCGAAGATGATCACCCTGTTGTTGATGTTCTTGGTCTCGTTCAAGGTCACGTTGACGTACTGGCTGTGCTGGTGGGGTTTCTTCGTGAGGAACTGCTGCCCCAGCGGCTTCACCTGCTTGTCGATGTGGTTCAGCTCGGCGTAGTTCAGCGCGCTCTGCGGCAGGTTCTTGGTGAAGCTCTTCAGGTCTGGAGGGGCCCTGCCTATCGAAGTTTTTCGACCAATTAAAAGATTGATTCGTTGTTAATAACTTGATTTCGAGAATTCTAACCTCAAACTTTGTTGGAACTTTCAAGAACTATTTTTTTCAACTAGGAAAAAGCCAAATACTCAAAGTGGAATGCAATGGTCACAAATAGAGAGGAACTCAAAGTCATTATCACAATAGTTCATAAATTGAACGGAAATGGTAGATAACGAGAGAAAAACAACTACTTTCCTGGCTATATGCCACGCAGAACATTGGATTGAGTACATCCTTCCGAAATCTGTGCAATAATTCGTATAGACGAATAAAATCGCAAGTGTTTCCCTCCTAAACGCCGAGCTGCGCCTAAATGGTTCAGGAACGGGTAACTACCTGCAGACCGGTTTCGAGCTGTTCGCTCGCATCAGTACTGATGAGAGCCAATAGCTCGAAACTGGTCTGCAGGTAGTCACGCGTTCCTGAACCACTTAGGCGCAGCTCGGCGGTTAGGAAGAAAACACTTGCGATTTTATTCGTCTATACGAATAATTGCATAGATTTCGGTAGGATGTAATCCAATGTTCGTGGCATATAGCCAGGAAAGTAGCTGTTTTTCTCTCGTTATCAACCATTTTCGTTCATTTTATGAACTATTGCGGTAATGACTTTGAGTTTCTCTCTATTTGTAACTATTTTTATATTTTCTTTCAATGAAATGAAAGCAATGATTAGATTCTTCAGAAAGGAATGGGTCTGAATCAAGGCCGGAGTTTCATTACATAAAAGTCGATATTTTTTATGTCAATTAGGATCCAGAAGGTTAATTTTTTGAAAGATATTCTGCAAATGAAGTATTATTGCAATAGTTATGTTCACAGCAAACGGAAAATAAGAAATATTTGCATCTGAATAGTACAGAGACTCTATACTGAATACTGAATAGTATCTCACAATTCCATATGTTGGCCAATGAGATATCCACTTGGCGAGTGCTTGAAAACTGCCATCTATCAGATAGCGTCCTGAACTACCCGATTTCAGGTATCTACCTCATGCTTTTCTTTCGACTCTAGGGTGTTTGCTGAATCTGACGAACTTGACCACAGAACTGAAAGAACTTGGCTTCTTCCTAAGACTTTCTCTGTTTACATCATACGATGAAAAGAGATGACCATTAGGAAACAAATCAACTTCAGCAGATCCAGCAGCGAGTACTAACGAACTGACCTTATGAATTGATGTAAATATAATTGATTTGTGAGCTGTTCGTCAGAATGAATACATTTCAGGCAGAGTTTTCATATGAATAATAGGAACAAGGTTACGGTGAAACATTCACCTTGAATTCTTGTAATTCATTTCTAATGACATCACATAAGGGCAGACAGAATAGTCAACCCGACAGATGCCAGCACATTATGGTTAGGATTTGTCAAATAACTTTAATTGCCACTGCATCGCTACGTGATCGCTGTATATTCGAATCTTGACACATAATATTAGTATAGTAAATTGTTTAACGCGCACGAAATAATAGTCATTTTCCACGAGAATGAAATTCAAATCATACGAGTGGGGAACTAACATTCCGTGCGAGTTATACACTTTACTCTTTCTACGGTTGTAACAGATGACAGCGAAATTTTTGAGTTCTTCAGCTTGTAGCCATCTGATTTTCTTTTGAGTAATGCTCATCTATCAGACAGAGCTGGCATTGCTTGAAATTCAACATTTCATGATTTGAGATTAGATTTTGTGAACTGAATGAAGACATTGTGATATCTGATACGGAAAAGAACTTGGTGACATACGAATTACCTCATCAATTTATTGGACACAGTAAACCAAGAGCAATTATGTGTTATAGCCTTATATCCGCAGAAAAAGTATATTTTTTCATAAGAGAAAAAATCGAAAATAGCGAAAATATACAACCAAATCAAATACTTACTCATGTATACTGCCTACATAATATTAGCAGCTTACAGAAAAAACATCGACTTCATTAGAATAATGATTGGATATTATGGAATTTTGTAAGAATATTCAAATGATATATTCTATGATTATTTCTGAAGAATATTCATGTAATATTATGGAATATTCTAGAACGTTTCCAATGATAAATTCTATATGATTATTCCTCAAGAACATTGAATATTCGAAAGATACATTCTATGATTGTTCCTGTAGAACATTAATGGCATATTATGGAATATTCTAGAACATTATGAATGATACACTCCATGATTATCACTGTAAAAAACTCATAGAATATTATGAACTATTCCGATGATACATTTGTTGAGAATCGGTGCATTCAGAGGAGCTGATGATATTTTGTTTCAGTTTCAATTTTTATATACATATGTTGTCAAGACTCTGTATAAACACACAGTCGATTTTGAGTTTGATGGTTATTGTCAAAATAATAGGATTGTCTTTCAATTCACATAAAAATATTAAAATACTTTCGAAACCAGTCTGCGATATATTTTTCGACGTATTATACACACCAGGTAGGTGCTATAATATCAACATTTGGCGACCGTGACAGGACCCGGTGCAGAAAGTATGGAAAAGTTGATGAAGGCACTTGACATCCATCGAAGATAGTTGAAGTTTTCCCAGGGAAAGATGGCGAAATACGAGTTGTACGTTTGAGAACTTCTTCTGGATACATTTTGAGACCCGTACAACGATTATATCCATTAGAAATGGATTCGCAAGATGAAGATACTGATCATTTGATTTCAGCTCGTGATTGTATCACTTTCTCACCTCAGAACGAAATCAATAAACAAGACAAAATAACAAGATCTGGACGAAAGAGCAAACCTCCGTCAAGGTATGGTTTTTGAAGATATTTGAATCATACTCTTCCGAGGAAATGACTCAAGGTGGGAGGAATGTTGAGAATCGGTGCATTCAGAGGAGCTGATGATATTTTGTTTCAGTTTCAATTTTTATATACATATGTTGTCAAGACTCTGTATAAACACACAGTCGATTTTGAGTTTGATGGTTATTGTCAAAATAATAGGATTGTCTTTCAATTCACATAAAAATATTAAAATACTTTCGAAACCAGTCTGCGATATATTTTTCGACGTATTATACACACCAGGTAGGTGCTATAATATCAACATTTGGCGACCGTGACAGGACCCGGTGCAGAAAGTATGGAAAAGTTGATGAAGGCACTTGACATCCATCGAACATCTTTCACAAGAATCTATGATGTTATCATGGATGGATTACAATCATCTAGCCCTGATACATTTGAACTACAAGGTAATCTTCAGATACTCGAACAGAAAATGCAAATAATACAAGATCTAGACAAGAAATTAGTGGAACTTCTTTTGGATTCTGACTCTATTACCAGTGATATCGACTCCGAAATGGAAAAAGCAGATCAATATGCTATGCAATTCAACAATTTGAAGCTAAGAGTCAATAATAAAATAAGCTCTACTAGTATACAAGATGTAGATCCACACATTACCTGTAGTCAGATAGGCCAATTTCAGCGTAAACTGAAATTACCTCAGATCGAATTCAAGAAATTTGGTGGAGATATTCGAGATTGGTTATCATTCTGGAGCCAATTCAAACGAATACATGAAGATGAACATCTAGTCAATGAAGATAAGTTTCAATATCTCATACAAGCAACGATTCCTAAATCTCGTGCAAGACAAGTTATTGAAAGTTACCCACCTTCTGGAGAAAACTATCCAAAGGCCATAGAAAGTCTAAAATCGAGATTTGGCAGAGATGATCTTTTGGTCGAGGTTTACGTACGTGAATTGTTGAAATTGATCCTGAATAATCTAAGTGGCAAGTCCAAACTGAGTTTTCTTTATGATAAGATCGAAACGCAACTTCGAGCTCTGGAAACCCTTGGTGTAACTTCTGAAACATGTGCTGCCATGTTATATCCTTTGATCGAATCTTGTTTGCCAGAAGAATGCCTGAGAATTTGGCAAAGAAGTTCGCACTTTTCTGTTGATGATGGTCTGAAGAAACGATTAGATCAACTGATGAAGTTTCTGAAGGGTGAAGTTGAAAATGAAGAAAGAATCACTCTAGCTTCAACTAGTTTTGATCTACAGAAACAACAACAGAAGAAGAAAGAAGATTACAGTCTCCCTACTCCAACCGCACATTCCTTGGTCAGCACTAGATCTCTGAAATGTGTATTTTGTAAAAAAGAACATCGTAGTGATGATTGTACCGAAGCAGTGAAGATGACTCTTGTAGTATAAATACTTAGAGTAGTCTCAATGACGAAGTAGCTAGGTCGGCGGTGAAAAAATGTCAGTTAGTTGTCATGTCACGTTTGAACTGTATGTCTATGTATTTTTGATATCAGTTTGTAATAAAGCATAAATACCTATAGTCTGGTATTATTCTATACAACAGTCTGTATAATACACAACAGTAAATTGGCGACGAGAATTCGGAAGTCTGGAATAATCGTTGGTCACCATTTCATCTACCAAAGTGAGTAGTAGTCCATAGTCCATGAGTTGATATCGTCAGTCTTCAAGTTATATAGGATCATCCTGATAGGAATCAATAACGAAATGGCATTATTCGTTGGAAATATAGAACATTACAAGCCAGGAGTCACTGATATTGATTCTTATTTAGAAAGGATGGATTTCTATTTCAACTGTAATGATGTTGAATGCGACAAAAAGGTATCACTATTTTTAACACTAATCGGACCGGAAGGTTACGATATGTTGAAAGACTTGGTGTCACCATCAAAACCGTCAGAAAAGACATATGCTGAGATAAAAGCCATTTTGAGTAGACATTTTTGTCCATCAAGATTGATAATTGCGGAAAGATTCAAGTTCCACCAGTGTCATCAAAAGTCAGATGAGTCACTCAGTGAATACATTGTGAGGATAAAGAAATTATCTAAAACTTGCAAGTTCAACTCTTTTCTTGATGAGGCTCTACGCGATAGATTTGTATGCGGTTTGGCAAATGAGAAAATAC